AAGACCCCGAAGCGCCTTCTTTTTTTCTGCGTTTTCAGGCGCCAAAAAATACGACCAGGCTGGTTCTTTTTAGGCTTAAAAGCTGACCCCCTTAACAGCAGAAACGAGCCCGAGCATGTGCCAGGAGTTTAATCCGAGTTAGGGTAGGAGTTAAAACGTGAAACGCAACCGCTGGGGGGGCTCTAACTAGTTGGTCCCTCAGCCGACATTTTTTGTCGACTGTCGTCCAGGAACCTTCCAGAGAGCGTATCTTTTCTCTCACCTAAGTTAACTCACCAGTTAGTATAATCACTTCCCCCGCAAGCTCCTCCAGTGCATAAAGAAGGAAATCCGAAAACCATTCTCTTCAAAACAAAAATTCAAAAAAAATATTAGTACATGAAATAAAATTTCATAATTCTGCTTGTTCTCATCTACCTAGTTTGGAAAAGTATTTGCACTCGCGATTATATCTCATGCATTGCAAGTGGTTTGGGGCCGAACAACATGTCAAGAACCAGAAAAAGAAGTATGAATATTTTCCACGACATCTCTCTCCAATTCACAGCTTCGGAACTTTCTCCCCTATCTTCGCCATCCTCCACGACATTGAAAACCATGAAAACAAGAAAGAATGGGTCGTGGGACCTCTCCCCTTGGTCCTAACTACAATCACAATCAGTCTGGTCTAAGGAAGATTTCTTTTATATTCTGCAGGTGTTGAAACACTTTTTTTGAAACATTTTCAGGGTATTCTTGGTTCTTGTCTGGATGGTACTTCAAGACTAGCTGCTGGAAAAACTTTTTGCGGACTTCCAGCGAGTCTCCGCGTTGCTTTGCTAGCGAAAGCTTTTGGTCTACAGTGGAGATCAGCGCCGACACTCGCGGCTGGTCCCCCAGCGAATCGTAACACCCCTTCATCTTCTCGACAAGTGTTGATGTTTTTGGAAGTGCTTCAGTAATATTAAATATAGAAGAAATGCTGCTCCTGTTAGAAGTAGCCGAAGCAGTTCTTGTAGAAGCAATAGAACTACTACTATAAAAATTCCTGATAAACTCTGCTATTCCGAAGAGCTCTTCTGCGATTGCATGCCTTTGCGTCGCTTTCTTGCGGTAAGTACAACCGGCTACACCAGGAAAAAAGCTCCTCCTTATTTCAACATTATCTTCGACGAAGTTTTCTCCGGTAAGGTGTACCCAGAGCTCCAGCAGGTACTCACGAAACTGCGTGTCGATCCCTTTCATGTGCGGTAGCAAGAACTGCACTTCATCTACTATTGAGGCCAGTATGTCTTTCAGCGTCGTATGTCTTCCAGTGCTGAAGAAAACATACCTGGAGAACAGCAACTCGTGGAATTTCGCAAGATTCTTATCATTATCTCCGACCACAAAACGTCTTTTCGTTATCTTCGACCACACAGCATCACACAGGTCTCGATGCCATGCGAGTAATTGTGTCTGTGAAGTGGCATCCCACTCGGTCATCACGTTCTTCAGGTAGAGCTCCCGTTCCAATCCGTTACGCTCGATCGCAAGTATAAGAAGAAACCCTACTCAAGAGCACTTCTTCTTGTTGTCGACATTTATACATTTTTTGTCTACTTATGTATAACTACATCTAGAACGAAGTCCTTCTAATAGAAGATAGAGCCACTTGTTTTACTTCTCTCTTCGTAAAACTACTCAACTCGATGCACCCACATGCATCAATCTACTACAACAAATGGAAGCAAACCACAAACAGACTACAACCCAACATAAACAAACTACTTGACTCCGAAGGCGATAGAACGTATTGGGTGATTCGTTGTTCAAGTGACAGACAGTCTGATATGAGGAGGCGAACGCCTCGCTGTTTAATCACAACCGGATCGTCCACGTTATACCAATCGTTCTCCGTCGGCCCTTCCTGAAAATCCCGCTTCGGGAGGGTCTGCAGGCGAATCTATGAACTTTATCTATTTAGTAAAAAGTTTCCACTTCGGAACAATCTGCAGGCGATTCTATCTATTGAATGGTTCTGGTATTCTGACAGAGAAAATAAAACACATGATCATAAATCCAGGAGTGTGCGGAGTGCATCCTGAGTTTCTTCAGTGTTATCTTTCATCAAGTCGATGAGATAGTCTTCGATCTCCTCAATTTCCCATTTCAGATAATACGAGTCGATCCATTCCCAGCATGGTGCTGACCTTGTTGCATCCTCTTCCTCATAGTCCCTGTCCCCCTCTAAGAACGTAGAAGACGCGTTGTGTGTGGAGGAAGACGTACAACTACAAGGTAACTCAAACAGAATTAGAGCTGTCCGCAATTCATCTTTCAAGTGCACCCTTGAACAAAAGTACGAGGGAGTATTCACTTGAGATACCCCTCCATACGTTTCAAGCATGCGGCCAAAGATGTGTTAGGTACAGCCTTAACAGAATATTCTTCACAATGGCCATGTCTTGTGGGAGTTGGTGTGCCTGCTGGTCCTCCTCTTTCCCCCCGTGGTCGGGGTAGATGAAGTTGTTTCTTTCAACAAGATCATCCTCATCTTGTGAATTACCCACCTTCCGACGCTTGCGACGACGTGCGTAGATGTACTCCAGACACCGTCGCTCCAACATATTCACTGCATTGATATTACTGTCCGCTCCTCCTACCACACTTTTCAACACTTCTTCTTCTAGAAGCGTCGAAGATGAAGATAGTCGTACACTGGCATTGTCTGGATTGGGGCCCTTCAACTTGGGAACCGAGGCACCAATTATATTCGGCCCCCAATCGAAGTTCGGATCATCAGGAGGCTCTTGCTCATCTACTTGTGTGGAAAATGGTGTTCGCAAGACCCCCGCCAAGAGCTTCCAAGCGGTTTGCGAGACACCCTCAAGACAAGTGACACAAGATGAACCAGACATCGCAACCATGAATCTTCTTGTCTCGAGAAACTAAATCTTTATCATAGGCATAGATGTTGCCCTTGTTTGGTTGGAAAAAAATAATAATTGCGTGCTTCATTACTAACCCTGTTCCTGAAGTGGATGTACAGGTTGAGCAGCGTCTTGTAGAGGAGCTACCTGAGGTAAGATCGGCGGTAGTACTTGCGTAAAAAATACAAAACCAAATCTCTACCTCGTCTCATTTTCAAACTTCTTCACAACTAAAAATCCGAAAAAAATGATAGCTCTGATCTTGGACTTCAGCAAGCACTTCAACATACACAACAACAGATCACCGTCCTGGACCGTCACGACCTCCCTCAACTCACATGTTGTTCATCACCTCCTGAGTAGTGGACGCAGATCTCATTGCACTCAATCCCCCCGGAGCATTATCTTCATTGCACTCAATCCTCATTACAAGTGTGTGAAGAGTACGCAGCGCGAAGAGGACCCGAGAGACTACCTCAGGCTGCGTTTCCATCGTGCTGCGCGGCATGCGTTCTCTAGATAGGATTAGATGGGTTCCTGCTGCAGCCCTGCGCTTTGAGCGCCGGATCGGCAGAATGTTCCTTTAGCTCGTCCACCGCGAGCTTTCTGGCCGGTAGCTCCCTCTACATGTAGGAGATTTAGTTCTGTTCCTGTAGATTTGGGTGAGCAACAAAATCTGCATCCCAACTGCCAGCTATTCATTTCTTCACTTGGACAAGTGAAGAAATGAATAGAGTTAAGTAGTTCTGATTGAGTAGATTCTGCTCGAGTAGTTCTGGTTCGGTAGATTCTGCTGAGTAGATTCTGCTGAGTAGATTCTGGCTGAGTAGTTCAAGTGAAGAAATGAATTTCGCTTGTTGAGTCCAGGTCGGTTGAGTGGTACTGCTCGAGTAGTTCTGGTTTTAGTGGTGCTTTTCATCCACGAGTCGTGGCACACCTACTGTCTCGATGAGTTTCAGATGGGAAGGCTTTTTATCCAATGCTTTTACTGGTGGCCGAACTGTTGAAGATGTGTTGTCTTTTCTCCTGTTGTTCCGCAAGCTGCCCTCGTCACCCTCTGCAGAAGATGAGTGTACTTGTACAACTACTTCCAAGAGGTTATTTTCGTGAAAGGCTATACAGGGTATAAAGGCTATAAGGCTATAAAAGGCTCCTTCGCTATAATTCTCCGGCATGATACCAGAAGACAAGTTGCTGCCTGGACACACGCAGGAATTGCTTTCCCCCCACGCAACAACATCCCAACTCGCATATAATCGTGAATCAAAATGCCTCGCATGAAAACCGTGCGAGACGGAGCCAAAGGTCTTTGGATTGTACAAAAACCCGCCCCAAAGAGCCCGCCTTCGCGGCAGCTTTCTAGTTTGTACAAGAACCCGCCCTAGAAAGCTTGGCCTTTTCCAGTAGTACCCGAGCTAAATCTTAAGAGAACAATACTTCCGACGCTTGTTCCCTGCGACCTGCACCAAAAGAAACCTAACTTGCTTCAAATAAAGTAGGATAGAATAGGAGCTGGCTCGCCTCAAGGAGGTGAGCATTCACGACTATGCTTCAAACAAAGTAGTCCCAAGGGACTACGGCACGGCCTTAAAGAAGAGTGCGATCGTCAGCAGTCGTCAAGTCAACTATGCGATGCCACCGGGTTCGGAAGCCGGCTCAGATGGAGGACCACAGGGAGAAGGAGATATGAGAGGATGCGGGATAGTTCTCCACCCTTATATCGACCCAAGGGACTACGGCACGGCCTTAAAGAAGAGTGCGATCGTCAACGAAGATGCGTCACAGTTCGCCGCACATATCAAGGCGCCGAGGCGCATTGGATAGTAGATGCTACGTTGTCTATGATACTGATAGACGTTATGTGGTCTAGGAGAGCCTAGCCTATGCCTTTGTTACACATGCACTTACTCGGAAGTGCGGCTTCTAGTAAAATCGTCATCCTCGAACAAGAAGGCATCGCATGCCATAGTTCGGGAAAAGCTGCGGGGTTTCCATTTTTACCCATGAACGAATCTACTGCGAGGCTGCGCTTCGATCGTTGCATTCGTTCTTCTCTTACCAGACTACATCCACACAAATCTTCTTCATTCTCATACATACCATGACCTACTCCTACACTTCGCGACGCGTCTCCTTATTCTGCACAAAATGTAAGGATTCTAGAACACATAAGATTTCGCTACAGCATTTTCCTAGAATACATCCTTCAACCTCTTTCCCCAATTGATAAAATTGCACGACCTCTTGCTCTGTGAGAAATAAAAACAACAGTTTTCTCCTTTCTTTGCACTCACCTAAATAAAGACCTACCACTGAGTGGCACTCACTGTAACAAGTAAGGTGAAAAACCAAGAGGAAACAAACGAAAATTGCGCCTGCTGCGCGTCGCCACGGTGATTCACAAGTTGCAACGCTCTAGTAGCATAAAGCAAACTCATTTCATCACCGCCCGTCAACAGCGTTATTTCATTAGCATAGTTAGTATCAAGGAAAGCTCCTAATCGACTTGATGTTGACATAAATAACCCTAAGCATCAAGCGTAGTTCTTCGCCAGACATCTGACATCAATATGAATATGTCTATATAATCATGATCTTCAATTTTGTGAATTATGCCGTAGTTGTAGGTGTTTTTTTTCCTAGAAGTCATAAGCTAAATATTTTTTTGAAAAGAGGATAAGAATCATCTCCTCCAGACGTCCTTGTTCTTTATGTGCCTTCGTAATGACGTTGAAGTTGATATCCATGCGTTTTTTTCTACTACTAGTTGGAAAGCCATAGCTGGCGTCCTTACAGACGAGAGAACAAAGAGTCGCAAAATTCCTTGTTGTCCTTATGATGCTGATTCGAATCTATTCGGCAGCGTGCCTAAGATTTCCCTGATCCTTTTCTTGAAAATAATAACAAATCTATATAAACCATGGCAACTTTTTATTTCATATTTCACGATATAATTGCCTATTTTGTTTTTGTACCTCTTGATCATTTTTGATATTTCATGATATAATTGCCCATTTTGTACCTCTTGATCTTGTATTATGTAAGAAAACAAGTGTCTGAATGAAACAGAAAAGCGTACTAGTCGGAGTCTCCTACTTCCATCGAGAGCCCCTACTTCCATCGAGAGTCCTCGCATGACATCGAGATCCTGATCACCACATATCATGATCGCCAGATACCGTGGACTTCCTTCTCCCAGGCCTTGCTTTTCTCCTGATCTGCATTGCTAGAGCTCGAGCTAGACTCCTTGTTTCAGATTTAGAGGTTGCCGAATTGCATTCCGCAGAACATCCTTGACCTATTTCCCCCTTGAAAAGGAGCCAAGGACGGTAGCGAGGGATGTAATTCGGAAGCCCTTAATTTTTATTTCACAGCATTTGACGAATTTCATAGTGCTTTAGCTCCGTTCATCTCCTACTCATTCCTCTCCTCTGCTAGATTTGTGCCTGAAGGAGATAATGAATGTCGAGCAGGACTCTACTTTTGTCCAGTACGCCAACACTCCACTACACTTTCATCGCTAGGCTTTGGTCATCTCATACTTCTTGCTACCACAGTACTTTATTAATTGGAGGGAAAAATGGACCACTTCTCTCGAGGGAAAAAATATTTACCGGTTACCAGCACAGAAGTACTTTTTTAACAACTTGTTGTATCTTATTTAAATGTATGTACTTACTCTATCACATTCACACCAGTACCTGTGCGGCGGCCAGTTTCCAGCTCTGCTGTAACATTTATTGTTCTTGTTGTTCGACCACTACCTCCACACTCTGCACTTCCACCCCCACGCGCTGTTCTTCATCCAGGTCCGCCACCCCTTCTTGTGCAGAAGTTTCAAGAGCGCCCTCTTCACGATCCTTCTTGTCTTCTCGTGCTGGAGCCTGTGAGGGAGATAAAGATGCCAGAAGTGGCATCCCTTTCATCTTGATGCTTTCTATTAGAGCTGCTCACAGAGATAATGAACTGTGGACGTCGACAAGTAGAGGAAGCAAAATTATTGAAGTTGAACAAGCCAAAATCTTCACTAAATCTTGTAACAAGACTTAATTTGCCTTAGAATTCAAGAAACTCTTTGTTCTCTTCTTTTTAAGACAGAAAAGAACAATATGTATCAGTACTCTTTCTCTTTTTAAGACAGAAAAGAACAATACGTATCTTTCTCCTACAGGAGATGAATTGTGACAGAATCCAAAATCTGGTGAGGGCAACTGCCTCCTCGTCACACGGTGCCCAATTCAAAATTTTTACCTATGCGCTACCGTGGTCACCGTGTTCCCTTACCAGTATACACATGCGAGATCCAATGTGTCTCAGTATCTTACAGGAGATGAATTGTAACAGAATCCAAAATCTTCACTAAACGATGTAAAAACAAGACTTAATTTCACAGCCCGTTTCGATCCGTTCCGTTTGGTACTAACAGGACCTCCACCAGATACAGGATGCTCTGCAGCTACAACTGGTTCGGTCCATGATCCGTCCCGTTCAACAACGTCTGTGCGAGAGGCCTTCGCGCTTCCAGTTCGTCGTGGTTCCACTCGTCCCGCCTGGGCCTGCGGTTCTTCTTGTTCACGGGGCGGGCCTTTGATGATGATAATTTGTTATTTTTTATGATGATGAAGATTTCATTTTTTATGATCCTCTGATCCTGTCTGGGACTTTAGACATCTACTTCTATCCTGTGACTGATTTAGTGCTGTCGCGGTACCTACCTAGGCAAGAACATAAAAAAGAAACCTCCAAACATGAAGAAGTAAAAATTTCTATTCGATCACAGCAACATCGTAGTGTTGAGCAGGAGGCTAAGATATCATTATCACCCGAGCCTGAGTCTGAGAGAACTGAAGATATCAACAAGTATTTAACACCTATTCCTTAACTCGTGATATCATTATTACCTGTAGCACGACTCTTCATCCGCGAGGACTCCTTCCGCGACTCGCCAAGATTGTCCTGCTGTTTGTTTCGACCGAGAACGCCTGAGGTAGTACGGTGCAAAGAAGTTATGAGACAAGGGTAGTACGGTGAGAGGAAGTTATGAAAGATGAAGGGTAGTACGGTGTAAAGAAGTCATGAAAGATGAAAGATGAAGGGTAGTACGGTGAAAAGAAGTTATGAAAGAGCGGAGGCGCCTATGTATAACAGAGTAGCCTCCAATGTGTGCCCGCTCGCATGGCATGGAGTGCATGGATCGCATGGAGCTGCATGGGGCTAAAGAGGGCGCTCCTTGCGTCCCTTATATGGGTCCGCACTCCATGCTACTCCATGCACCCCATGCATGCTATAAGCCATAATTATCACAGCACACACTAAAAAAACTCCATACGCTTCTAAATAATTCTCGCCTCCACAGCACTAGACTAACACACAGCTAAGACACAGACAAAATTCGTCAACTCAGCTCGACCACGGTTAATCGCGGGCACAGGAGCCACACAGATAGATTACTCATAATAGCAACGTGAAGCAAGAAAGGTTAGCTTTTACTTACTCATATAACAAATGACTGGTCGTTTTCTTAGAGAGAGAGAAGCACGACTATCAATACCTCCCTTTCCAGCAGGGACAGCACTTTTTCCTTTTCGTGCAGTTGCAGGGACGGAGTGTTTGCGTGGGGTTGCAGCACTCTGTTGCAGCGGCCCTTTCCTCGCACCTGTTGCGACAGATACGCGGCTCTTTTGCTCCCGATCTTCTAGTTGTTTCAACTCTTGCTCAGCATGTTGCAGCGGCTCTTCCCTCGCACCTGTTGCGACAGATACGCGGCTCTTTTGCTCCCGATCTTCTAGTTGTTTCACCTCCTGCTCAGCATGTTGCAGCGGCTCTTTCCTCGCACCTGTTGCGACAGATACGCGGCTCTTTTGCTCCCGATCTTCTAGTTGTTTCACCTCCTGCACAGCATGTTGCAGCGGCCCTTTCCTCGCACCTGTTGCGACAGATACGCGGCTCTTAATATGCTCCCGATCTTCTAGTTGTTTCACCTCCTGCTCAGCAAAATTACCGCCAATTTCCAGTGAATTATCGCCAAGTTTCTCGCCGCCTCTTCCACCAGAAGTTCTTGCAGGAGACGCAGTAGTAGCAGGTTTCCTCGTTGTAGAAGGACTCGTTTTCTTCGCTTGGAGGTAGGCAGCAATGCCTGCAACCACTAAGCCCAGAAACGCAACACCACCTGCAATAATGCCGATGAGCATGACCATATTTGCGTCGCCATCGTCCCCCGAATCTTCAGATTCAGACGGAGGAGGATTGATAGTAACAAACGGAGCTCTGGTAGCTTAGAGGAGGAGGAAGGCAATCTAAATATGTTTACATTCCCTTCTACTTCGCACGCCGCAATGGTTCTTGCGCGGTTTATTTCACAATCTTCAAATCATCCTTGACGTCTTTCCTATCGGAGAGAAAGTCACGAATGGAGTGAAGGATGCAATCTGGTAATGTCTTGCCGTCTTTCTCTTTCCACCTATGTACTCTTCCTTGGGGGTGGAAAGTAACTCTAAGCCAAGAGGTAAATGCTTATGCTATCTGGTTATGTATTCGAAAAACTGAAAATAAGCGAGATGTTCACTGAACAAGGAAGAGTAGCCCTGTCAAAGCTATCTCCCTTCTTTCAGTCAGTAACTCGGTTATTTTCCGTTTTCGAGTAAGTCTACTAAGTCAAGAATCGTCGTGAAGAAGTAAAAGCAGTGCTATAATCTCGCATATCTATGATCATGAGATGATGAGAGGTCAAGATCCTAGTCATAAGTAGTCGTGATCCTCAGGAAGTCGTCAAGATTGGTCACGCCTTCTGGTGTGTCTTCGACTCTCGCCTCTTCGAGAGTGACAACTGGTGACATTATCAGCCGAAGCACCCCAGCAGAAGCACCTCCCACGTTCGCGGCGGAGTCGGCTACATATTGAGCAGTAAGGGCAGAATTCACAGACTGCGCGACTGCCACTCCAGTTGCCGTCGCTCGCGTAGTCATGGTATCGCTTACCAAAGAGGCAATCGCTTGGCTTGTGGTAGCAGTGGGAACCGGATACACAGCTTGAATCTGATACGTCGCCTGCCCAGAACCAGATGAAGAAGAACTTGTACCAGACGAGGTCGTTAATTGTAATTCCCGACTCAAAGGAAAAGTTGCTCCTGAAGAGTTAGAAAAGCTTGCAATTGGAACCAGCACGGCTTCTATTAAGATTAAGTACTATTTTGCACCTACTACTTATGTTGAGATCGGAAGTTGTGATTGGCAACCTATTATAGTTGCTGTACAGCATTATATTTAATCAATATAAATAATAGTATGCACTACTTATTATAGTGGTATAAAGTTGTGACCCCTTTATCAATGATCTTTATAATGTGTTCTTGTTGGTCAATAGAACATAGAAGACACAACATAGAGTACCCGCCCTTACCCCGTGTCGCCCTCATTCCTCAGGTTCATTTAGGGTTTAGGGTTTGATGTCACGTACAAAGGTACCTTCCTCCACAACATCTGGCGACGAATAACTCTCCTCCTCGAAGCCGAAACCGATAGCTTGTTCTTCTCCTCGTGTATCTAACAAGGACCTCTTCCTCGACCGCACCCTTGCAACTGGGCAATCCAGGCTCACTTTCTGACACGAGGATCGTGAAACACCAGCGCATAAAGCACCCGTGTAGGTCCCTCGAGGTCCCCACGTTGAGCCGCAGCTATTCAAACACGCGAGGACCTTGCGTCGCATGGATTCTTCCTCTTCCGGGAGGAGAGTTGCTGGAATCGTAAGACCGGCTGCAGCATCCTGCTTGTACATACCGATCCCTGCCATCGAGAAGCAGTAGTCGACAAAAACAGCAGAAGCAGACTCCCTCTTCAAATTAGAGGAGCTCCTCAACCTATTCTTGATCAATACAATACAATACAACTAATCTCGCTTTTTTTTTTTGTAGTGCGAGCGAGTTCCGATAAATCAGAACCTACCTGCGTATTTTCCGCGTGGATACTGCCATGATAAGGGCGTCATAGATGGCACACATCCTGAAAAGCATGCATGATCCTGTTCCTCTTTCATCCTGTTCCTCCCCTTGAAAAGCCTTTAAGTACTCCGGATGCCTCCTTCAGAAGATGGATTATGGCAAGCCTTAATCAAAGTCTCTATTTGTCTCGTCGTGAACATCGACAGACCAGGGAAACCCAACTTCATTGACGTTACTACAGAAACGGACGGCCGCAGAGTCGTACTGTCCGTGTTCGTTGTTTTAGACCTCTCCCCACTTCATCCCTGCTGTGGAAATCTCTCAAGCGTACCTATGCGTCAGAGGACAGTCTTCCCCTTGTTACAATTGGCGCGCATATGCGTCAGAGGACAGTCTTCCCCTTGTTACAATTGGTGCGCAACATATGCTTGAGGGATGTCTACAGAGATGGACTAGGGAGGCCTTAAACGTACTAGTTGAAGTTGTGCTCGTCGTCGTGGTCGTAGGATCTATTTGTACGATCTTCACCGACGCCGGCTCCCCCGTCCTTGTATCCGTGGGCTTGAGTGCCTGGGCGCTATGGGTGTCGTACATGCCTTCCGGGAAACTGGAAGACGTAAGAACCTGCGTTTTCTGCTCTGAGGACAACAAGCTCCCAGCCGCATCGTTCAGCGTTAAGAAGTTATCAAAATGATACGTCAGCCTCTCACGCATCGCTGTATTCGGATGCCCAAACATGTCTTGGAAGAGCTTCTGAATCGGAGCAGCGTCCTCCTTGGAGCGCAGTCCAACGATGCGGCCCTTACGGTATTGTAGGCGAAAGTCATTGCAATAGGCCTCCGTTGGATCGAGAATGAAATGAGAAGCCGTCAGGTAGCCAGCAGCGTTCGCGTGGTAGCTTGTCTCCTTATACGTGTTCACAATCGAGAACCGTCGACTTGCATCGGAGGAGACTCCTCCTGAATTGGAGGTCGTCGTGTACTTCACATCCGAGGTGGCCAACGTCATTTCTTTGACAAACGCGTGCAAAGCTTTCGCGAAAACCTTTCCAAGGGTTTCGTCTGCGAGCCCACCTGATTTGGCACAAAGTCGCGAAGGCAGCCGGTCCGCATACAGCTGAAGGTAACCAAAATGAAGCTCAAACGTCGTACTAGAATTCGATGTCTTCAAAGAGGCTTCAACCTCGCTGGGGTTGTAAGTAGCGTGGGCGCTGTCGAGCGGAAGAATCGCAATTTTGGGCGTCCTGCCACTGTCCGCTCTACTATTTTCGAACAAAAAGCGTTCATTTCCATTCCTACCAACATTTCCGCCTAACCATCCGAGGGCACCGGCGTCAATCTTATCTTGTAACGCTTTCTTAAGCTCCAGCGTCAATTAGAGTGCGGACCCCATAAAAATGATCATCCATCTATTGTGAGACGCAACATCCTAGAAGATGCCTTCCCCCTTTGGAAAACCACTCCAGGAGCATCTCCGAACAAGATGGATTAGGCGAAGCCTTAATGCAACCAAAGTCTTTCGCTTGACTCGCTCGTCTGATCGATAATCCTCTTCACCGTAAGGGCATCCGCCTCGTCGTAAAAGGGACCGACCTGTATTAGAACTAGAACGAAGCTTCTGCTTCCTTTCTTATACTTATATATAAGTACTAGACCTGAACCGCGACGCAGAGCGCGTCGCCGGTCTAGAATAATAGCGGCGCAGAGAGAGCCGACAAAGGCTATAACCTCACCAGAAGCAAAATGAACTGTCGGCGGCTTGAGTGGGCCCGGGCGTAACGTAGGCGTTGGGATCTATAACGACCATTTTTTGTGACACACGCCACAAGAAATGGTCGCGAAGTCCAAACCGTCGCGGACGCTTCAGAAATCACAAAGCCCTGGAAGTGAGAGCTCATGAGGAGCGGACCTCTATTGAGCTGTGGGAGGTAAGTTGACGCGGACTAGGCGTTTGGACTTAGCGGCCATTTTTCGTGACACACGCCACAAAAAATGGTCGGGAAGTCCAAACCGTCGCGGACGCTTCAGAAATCACAAAGCCCTGGAAGTGAGAGCTCATGAGGAGCGGACCTCTATTGAGCTGTGGGAGGTAAGTTGACGCGGACTAGGCGTTTGGACTTAGCGGCCATTTTTCGTGACACACGCCACAAAAAATGGTCGGGAAGTCCAAACCGTCGCGGACGCTTCAGAAATCACAAAGCCCTGGAAGTGAGAGCTCATGAGGAGCGGACCTCTATTGAGCTGTGGGAGGTAAGTTGACGCGGACTAGGCGTTTGGACTTAGCGGCCATTTTTCGTGACACACGCCACAAAAAATGGTCGGGAAGTCCAAACCGTCGCGGACGCTTCAGAAATCACAAAGCCCTGGAAGTGAGAGCTCATGAGGAGCGGACCTCTATTGAGCTGTGGGNCCTTTAAGCGAGGCCTTTAAGAGAGGCCTTTAAGCGAGGCCTTTAAGAGAGGCCTTTAAGCGAGGCCTTTAAGCGAGGCCTTTAAGAGAGGCCTTCTAGGCGCGCTTTTGTTACTTACAAAAGTGCTGTGCCCGAGAGCCAATCCATATTCCTATGTATGGCTCAGGGCTGGACGGCGCCCCCCCTTGATTGTGGTCTGGTCTGTGGTGGCGCGCGCGCTTTTCCGCGCTGATTTTTCACGGATTCTAGTGGTGGAAGGCGTCAAAACTTGGCCCAGGCCTCCCCTTGGGCCTCTCAGCGGGTTCCGCAGGGACCTCCTGGCCTCTGCTGACCCTCACCGGCGGGAGGTCTCCCGGGTAAAAGGCCGCCGAAGGCGGCCACGGTCGCAAGAGCAAGCAAGCCGATGACCAAGGGCCCGAAGGGTACAGGCTGCACGGCTCAGAGGGTCCAGCCCCTCGCCTTTTGCCGCCTTAAGGACAGCCAGGCACCTGGAAGGAAGCGGAGGCGGCCCCCTTGGGCCCCTCTTGAGGCCTTCCACCTACGTCGGAGGCCTCTAGGGGACAGCCAAGCACCTGGAAGGGAGCGGAGGCGGCCACTTGGCCCCCTTTTGAGGCCTTCCTCCCCCGGCAGACGCCTCCAAAAGGGGTCCGGGGCTACGGTGCCCCCCCTGCGCTAGGGGGGGTACCGTAGCCCCAAGCCCTGGAACATATATAATTATACTCATCTGGAGAACTCCAAGCCTGGTCTTTGACGTGTTGTCTTTCCCTTAGAGAAAACGAAAAGGGAGACAAAAAAGATGCTTCATCAAAGGATGAATTACAGTTGCACTAGGCCGTAACTGAAGCGCAAATTCTTGCCACGGAAAACTGGGGTCCGCTTTCACATTTTCGCAACTCTTCATGATAACATTAAAGTGTCCTTCCTGTAGCACCGTCGTTTTGGACAATACTTGGTGTGCCCCGTTGCCCCAGGGCCCAACTTGCGCCTTCACGAAGTTGTAAAATCCTTCGGCCATTCGCGGCGCGACCGCTGTATTCAGCCACGACGTAGAAGCGCCAGTTTTTCACTAAGTATGCCTGGTAGAGGTAGAGTTGTGAGTGCCCATTATTTTCCCCGTAGTTCTTTCGTCCCCTTTAAATCTTCAAGCGGGACTCCACAACTCACCATATAATACTATAATCCACGTGCGAATGGGATAGTGAAAAACTTCTAGCCATAAAAGACAGCGAGGACTCTGTGCGGCAACCATTTGCGAAGGTATACAGTGACGCGGGGAACACAAGCTGGTAGATGGCAAGTGGTGCTGTTGCTACCGGGGCAGTGGACGCCGACCGCACAATCGCCGCGACCTGGTGATACATTTTGGGGCCCGCCAAATCGGGATGAAATACTTCACCAGAAGCGCGAGGGCGTGTGCAGGAGACGTAGATTGAAAAGGGCGCGCAGGCATCGTCCGCTCCATTCCCCCAATGAGATTGGGCAAATCCGGGCGCGGTGTTCCCATTTGTGACACCGTCACAGGTCTTGCCTGAACCATGGACGCTGTCGAAATGAACATGCAGCTTCTTGCCGTTCCCATAGGCGTGGTAAATGCCATCCGCCAGCGCGTCGACAGCGTTCGCCGCATCGTGGTCCGGCTTCCTCTCGAATTCTAAGGCTTCAAGCGTCTTCAAGCTTTGCGAAGTTCCCGTGGAGCCCCAGCCGGCTCCGGTGTGTCGCCATTGGTAGACGGGGGAATAATAGTAGTCATCCGGCTTCAGACCGACATTTAACACGTGCAGTCGCGGATGTTCTGGCAAACAATCCTGCAGCCGGCAGAGGCTGCCCGTCTGTCTTACGCCGCTGGTGAGGCCCTTCCTGCCCCCGCCCAGGTGCTGCCTTACATTCATCGTCGCAAATGTCTCAACGCAGTCACCCGGAAAGCGTCCTTCCAGGTGAGGGTACTGAGCACTCATAGCTGCAGTTCCACGACACATCCGCACGCGCGCATAATATCCCGGAGGCCCGGCCCCCAACGGATAAGCACTGCCACCCGTGAGTGCTGCTGACGGTTCGAAAATATTGCGGATCTCTTGGTTCAAGGATGCTCGCGAGTTCACCGGGTCCGGGTCCTCCTTCTCGTGACGGGAGTGCAAGATTCTGCGCCACACGTTTTCGCGGACACCACAGTCCGCGCAGTCTGTTCCGAGCGGGCAGCGGTAGCGCAGTGACCCAGATTGGACTCCGCCTTGGGCGTTTTTGTGGTCGTGGAAAGTCGCTTTCCAAGACGGTTCCCAGACACCTAACGCCGCGTCCTTGGGCACGCCTGTGGAGCCAGGACCTCCGTCCTCGCAGATTCCATTGTGCGCCGCGGGGCAAGTATTGGAACAGGCAGGCATATCTCCTTCGCAGGGAGTCTGGACCCCCGTAGAGTACGGAGGAGCCGGGTGACGCTCGACAACCTCTCTATTTTCAGTCGGATGAAACTTGTTGCATTTTCCGTACACGAGGACCGACATTTCTCTTTTGAGTGGTTGCCTAGATCTGTTTTAGAGGCAGGGCGCTGGTGTTTCTCTCCCCCGCTTGTTCTGCCTTTCTCCCTTAGGAGAGGCAAAACAAACGGTAACAAGAACACCTTTAGCCTACTCTTAACTGTTATCTGGCCGGCAGTTTCCCGGGTACCGTTGACGGTCCCACAACCCTGCTCGGGTGTACTTCGTCGCGTTCGTCAAACCGTAGTCTCCAGCATCCGTGACAGCCTCCGCGGAGACGCCACCCACGCCACCTGCCCCGAGCGACTCTACGCAGTAGCCCTCCGCCTCTTTGCAATAAGGCTTATCGCCCATGCAGACGCGATTGTGGTAGGCGGGTCCGCAGCCATACCGTCTTGTACCGCTGTCCCAGCTTCTCTCTGTGGAGCCTACCTGGATCTCACGCGCAGGCTCAGGACACTGGAACGGGCCCACCGCTTTGAGGTACAGGTCCCAGTCCTCGTCCTCAGTGCACGAGACCTCGGCCATAGGATCGCCGACCTCCCCACTCGTTGTAGATTCTGGCTGCACGGCGGTCACTGCGTCAGCGGGCGTCGGCGGCTCGATCGTATAGTACTGAAAATACCCATAAAACCCACCCACTAGCTCTTTGGTCATGTAGAATCCTTGACAGTTATCCTTGCGATCGCAGACGTCGGACGCATGCTCCACCGCTCTTTCACGCGTTCCCGGCTTCACTTGGCTCACAGTGTTCCCGGTCGGATAAAGGAAATCGTAGATGTTATAATCACCCGTGTTCATATTGATCCCATATAAGTGCTCGCCTAGTGAGGAATCGCGCCCCTTGAGTGCGTTCTTTGTTTTATCCGCACTAGCTGTCTCTCCGCACGTCCCAGGCTTCTTACTTTCCCACCTCCTGTAATATTCGGGATAGACGCATATTAGAATAGAAGTATGTAGAACTAGAAATAGTCCTAGGACTATAGTACTAGGAGTAGGACTCTTGCCTATATTATATAGACGCATATGGGTACTATTAGTCGTACTGGGGCTGTAGTTTCTTACTCTATCCCGCCCAGAGATAACTTATCCTGATTCTGTGATGGGTTGTGGTAGATAATCCCTAACCAAGAATGTGCTATTATTCATATAATTCATTCTTATTACTGTGGTTAGTATTGTTTCTATTGTTATTAAGATGAGAAGGGCAGACGGTTACCCACAGACCTACAGACGGCCCACGGGGGGGACCTGTGGCACTAACAATAAGGATGTACTGTTTGAGAGCAGAAGAAAAAGGAACACCTGGAGGACGTTAGATCTACAGGAGCACGAGGACGTAAAAATTTTTTTTTTCTTTATTCTAAAGGATCAAATAAGCTTTGAAGCGAAGATCAAATTAGTTCTTTTCAGTAAGTAATAAACTTGTGTAGTCAAAAAACATATTCCACTTAAGTAATAAGTTATATTTCAAGCATCTTTGGCTTGGTGGGATACATCACCTAGGATATGAGGGAGAAACAACTAACCGGCTAGTTAAAGAGTCCAGCCATAAGGGCAGGGCTGAATTGATCTTGGGCCCTTCCCCAGGAGCTTGTTCGGATATTTTTAAGGGAACAACACGGCGAGCATACGCAGGTCCACGACAGACCCCCATTGTTCCCAAGATGTCCGCTCGAGTCACGTCCGACAGGTATACGGGCTTCGCGTCTTCGTATCCAGCAGTGGGGCTCTTTTGGATCACGGAGGTGAAACCTGCCTTCAGTGTTTCCAAGTGCAAAGCTGTCTCTTGACACGAATCCTCGTGACCAAAAAAATAGCAGCGGTTTTTATTAACGCACGTTGCCCCCAAGTACAGCGTTTCAAAATAACTCCTTCTCCACATATAACATTTTTTGCAGCCTCCGGGTGTATCCTTGCAATCCGCGCTCAGAATAGGATATTGCTGCGTCGACGTCGGCGACACGTCGTTCGTACAGTACTGGTCCGCCCAGGTCTCATAGGCGTAGCGACAGATTTCAGTCGGTTCTCTTTCTTTCTCTGCAAACGGGGCTACTGCATGATCGCGGCTCGGAACCAAGGTAGGACCATAACTCGCCAATGTTGCACCAAACACCGAATCGGGGAGTACAAGCAGCTGTGCCAAAAGCACTAGCTGCAGGAAGGTTGCCATATTGAAGGCCATCTTCTTGATGAAGAACTTGATGCTGCAGCGCCCGTGGTGGAGGGCCTTGTAGTTCTTGTGGTCCAGGTGGAAGGCCTTGTCGTAGTTCATTAATCCCCCTCCTCCTTCTGCAAAGGTGGTTGCAGAGGAAGATCGTTGATTTCGAGATCGTTGATATCTTATGTCGTTGAAGATGATTCGAGTACACTTCCTACAACCAATTCCTGGTAACACTAACAGATTATGCGATGAGAAATCTCGTGCGTGATGACAATCGTATCAACCGGAAAAAATGATCAATTCCTTCTGACCATAGACTTGATGTAGTTAAAAGTCGAAGGGATACTGATACAATTAGGGAATCCACGACTAGAAGAAGGGAAATATTTGAAATATTTACTGCGAGAGGAAAGAGAAAATTCTCAAAAGGCAGGTGCTCACATTTGCCTGACTTTTGCGTGCGTCAAAATCAACCAGATTATATGTGGGTCAAAGACACCTCCACATCGAGCACAACCTGAGTAATTGTAATCCCTCAACTGTAATGAGAACAGATACTGTTCGCTGACACTGACTCCTCTCCACTCATAACAGCAGACAATGGATCGCGATGCTTAATATCCCTCTAAGAACTGTCGCACAAGCCTCTTTTGCAGTCCACTCATAACAACAGACAAGAACATCCGTTGGCTTCTGCCCTCCGCTCACAACAACAGACAACATCCGTTGACTTCTCTCAGAACAGACGCCACTTGAAGAATTGCTCGCTCTGATGTAGAGATGCGTGGATCGCGATGCTTAATATCCCTCTAGGAACTGTCGCACAATCCTCTTTTGCAGTCAAGAACCGAAAAAATTTCGTCGAGAATCCCTCTCCCTCATCTACTCCGACATTATGGTATAAACATTTTTACGACACAGGTCTCTGCTCTTACTTTTCTTTATTCCTCGGAGAGCTCCTTCCCCATCGGAAGTAGATGGAATAACAGAACTGAAGATAGAGTGCGTGGAATACTTCCTAGCCTCGCTGACGCCCCGATCATGGTCGTGCTGCCTATTTGTTGTGGTCGTATCGGCTTACAGTCTGCATGCATAGCTATCTTTGAGAAAACTCAATCCGACCTTGTAGAAGATGCTTCTATTGCATTTCACAACCACAAGGAGAGAAAGAACCGCAAGAACAGGCGAATGCTTTTTTGAGATCATGCTCAGGGAGGTCATCCTTTTCCTTCCGTAATTATCAATACCACGAAGAACTAACAGTATTCAGTAATACTTTTCGATTGTTTTTCGCACAAATCGTGCGTTTTGTGTGCTTAGTTACTGGGTTGGATCATTCTCGTTACTGTTTTTTTCAAATCTAACGGATTCAAATCTTCACGGATTTTCACTTATTTCATATTAGAGTAGTTCAAGATTCTGGTTCTGCCAGCAAAAAAATATTAAGTACATCTTAACCATTTCATGATGAAGCTCAAAAAGGCTTCTCAAGATCGATTATTTCTGTAGCGCAAAAGAGTCACTCAAAGGCGTTATGAAACTACGCAGCTCCTTCATAAAGAAGGACCACGACTACATCTTCACAAATCAACCCCTTACTTTTATTACCGTCCATTCTTGATGCGTCCTCTCCAACATGGGTCCAAAGTCGAACCCACTGCTTTGGCACGACAACTCCATGAAGCGCATAAAGGCCCTGAGGAAGATGTTGTTAGTCAAGGAGCTTCGTTAACAATTGATGGTTGAAGAATAAACGGAACAAAAACGTGGAGTTTAGCTAATAACGTGCTAAGCGTAAGATAAGTGCTAGAACGATTATGGGCGACGGACTGAGCGGAAAGTGTTTTGATCAAGTAGTGTTTCAGTTAACATGTACTCCTTGAAGCTCCGCTGATGTTGCCGAGCCTCAGAGAGTAGATAAGTACTTCAGCCACCTGCGACGAGAAACATCCTCGTCCTGTCCAAGTCCAAAATAGTAGTTGCTTTTTTCAACAAGAAAGTAGAATAGCAAGTTAGTAGCGCTGTACTGCTCTTTTTAGCAGCAACCACCACTCTTAGCAGCTACAACCTCTTTTCGGCAGCATGCCTCTTCCACTATCCCGTTGCGCACGATCTCCTTGATCTTGTTAGCGTTCTCGGCGATTGGTTCACCTTCCAGCAATTTTTGGCGTTCCGCATTTTGTTGTAATTTCTTGCGCGCTTTTTGGAGAGCCGCCGCATCGATCGTGGCATCCGTGGGCGTCGCTCCTTCTCCACAAGCCGCTGTAAACGTCTTGGCGTCGAGTGCATTGCACTTCTTGTTGGCCAGCCTCTCCTCTTCCCTGAATATTTCCCCGAATGCCTCGTCCGCCCCCGCCGTACTCGGACGAGGCTCCATCTCAATCTTGATGCCCTCTGCCGAGACGGCCAACATTGCCCAAGATTTCAAGAAACGCGACATCTTTCTTGATGCTGGATTTTTGTCTTTGCTTACAAAAAACAAGCAAAAATTAGAAGAAGAGGAAAAGGAAGTAGGCCCATATAAAAACTGGATGACAAGCACAAGCTTGAAAAAAGTGCCGGGTAGTTCGGTGTGAGACGCGCTCGCGGTCTGACGAGTACGATCCCTCCTTTTTTCCTGAACTTTTCGATAAATGAAAGCACAATCAAAGCCCTAACAACTCTAATATTCATATTAGAAAAGTTTATGCCTTCTCCAGAATTACATTAGCACGCCGGGCACGCTGGGCGACCCCAAAGTGCCTCGTCTGCGAAACATTTCGCCTGCCGTGCTCCCACCGTGGGACCGGGAGTCCAAAATCGCAGCGCCCTCCGGGCGCCCGTTTCTGAAGCCTCCGGCAGAGTAGGTTTTTGAACCTTGGGTGCGCAGCATCAAGCTGCATACGAATCCGGGCGCCCCCTTACTAACCCGCCCGGCAATACCCACCAGCGGCGCCACACATTGCAGCAGAGCACTGCACACAGCAGCACTGTACACACCCAAGCGGCGCTGCACTGCATGCAGCAGCGAAGCATTGCAAGCAGCGAGAACGAAGCCACCACGCGAAGGAGCGCAGCGCCGGGTAGCCCTTGTCTGCGGCCCGGCACACTGACGGGAGCAGCGGGGCAACGCCATGATATGCGCCCAGCGCGCGCCAACCGTGCCGTCCATGGCTGCCTCCACGGTAGTCAAAATTTTTGGTTTTCAAATCCAGGTTTGGTCTTTGACTTTATGCGCAAAAAATTAATCTACATCGCCAAAGGGCTTCAGGCTTAGCACTTCGAGCATAGAGCGCTATGCTGAAGGCCCAAAGCAAACGCGAGACGGCCGCTCATGTTGCGAAGCAAGCTTCAAGCTCAAGTTTCATGTTTGAAAATTTCGAAAATGCCAAATTTTTGAGATTATCCCCGAGAGCTATTAAAATTTAAAACGTGTCGACCTTTCCGGGGTTCGACATCTACCGAATTCTTTTCCCAACGCGGCTCCTCCGCTCCGACTCCTGATATGCCTACCAGCTCCGCTAGCTGAGCACGCACTGTGACCAGGCTGAAAAGGAGTAGAATGCCTGGAGAGGCTTGCCTTGGTGGAGGAAGTGCTTCTAGTGGAGGGAGAGCTGCCGGGCGCTTAAGTGTAGTAGAAAGACTGAGAAAAGCATCGTCGCGCCGCACTCTCACAGAAGTAAGATTTTTGCACTCATAGGAGCACAGATCTTCCCGACAGCTCTTATATATGACAGATCAAAAATATTAAGTGGATCATACACTGCCGCTACCCTACTCGAGTCATTCATTGATAATTTGCTCTCAACTACAGAGTAAAAATCCGAGTAGTCTGAGATCCACGGCTTTTTGCTCTCAACAGAGTGCAGACCACAGCGCACTCAAAAGATCCACGGCTTTTTGCTCTCAACAGAGTGCAGACCACAGCGCACTCAAAAGATCCACGGCTTTTTGCTCTCAACAGAGTGCAGACCACAGCGCACTCAAAAGATCGACTGCAAAATTACAGCACCACACCAAAAGTGTGCAAATAAAAACAGTGCAATCAGATCCATTGGTCACTCTTGAGCTCCGCAAAGCAAAGATCTTCACGCTATCGCACTGAGATTCGCTCACTCGCACTCTCATGCGACAGGTTACCATGTACTCATGAAATCCCATTCGCTGAGGAAATTGCTCTCAAAGTAGTAATAGATCCGCTGCTCTAGTCTGAACACCATACTTCGTCGAACAGGTCTCCTCACGAGACATGATAGATTTTCAACTCCTGCTGAACACATTCTGACTCACGTTCTTGAGGTACTCAGGGGTTCAGCATATTACAGACGGTTGTAGACGATCCACTTAAGTAGATAAACGTTGCTCTTGTTGTAAAAGTAGAGTGATCTCACCTACTGAACTTCCATCAGTTCTTCACTGAGTTTCTTTTTCTCAACAGCTGGAGTGTGCTATCAGCACATCCCTCTGTCATCATAAAGCAAGGAGGCGCAAGAAAGTTATACATTCATTCACTCATTCACTTACCTGTTCGCGAGGTATTGTTTGGTGTGTGGGAGACACCACGCAGGGGCTATTGATGATAGTTGTAGAGAGGTACGTAAGTAAGTATCTATACTTGATTCGTGTAACTACAAGCTCAGCAAAAAAAACCACGATCGATTTCGATACATTCATAGAAAAGAAATCATCCTGCACTTTTCATCTTCATCTTCTGAATTTCCCCACAACCACGACCCAGTGCAATATTGATTAAAACTAAAACAAGCAGATCGGATCTACTGGCGCCGTAAACCCCAGTGTCGCAGTCCGACTCGGCAAGGAAAAGAAACCGTGAAAATACCATCGTCCCTTCTAGCGCCAACCATTATCTCGGCTACAAATTAGAGGAGAAGCGCTTTCAGCTTCATAATTTTCAGATGCGTCAGCTTCCTCGTCTAGGGCACTTACTCGTATCCATCGTTCTCGGTTTGAAAACGAGTGGAAGATGTGGGTGTGCAGAAGCAGATGTAGTTATACTGTAGATCCCCTGGGGAAGATTTCAACTTATTTGAGGGTTTTACTTTGTAATCTCCTTCATAAGAACAATGCTGCTCAGGGAACGATCCTCCGACACCAGTCGATGACCCCAAAACATCTGCCGGCTTCCATGACTCGAAACCGAAAGTCGAATACGAATATGCCACCTACTTATATTTTTCGGCATCAATTTGTTGCGACTCTCGAAATTCCTGCACTTTTTCCTTCATCAGTGCGTAGTACTCCTGTTATGAGGAGGTAGTATCGTGTGTGTTGAAAACTGCGAATGCGTTCTCCACATGATCATATTAGAAAGATGATAGTACTGCAGCATACTGTTTTGAAATATTTGAGCTTCAGCTCGGTGATGTCAAAATATCAGCTGACAGAATGTTATCAACCACACACATTAATAGTGGTAGTAGTAGCATTAGTAGTAGTTTACCCATTCAGGCAGTAAGTCCAAAAAAAACATGTTTAGCTCACGTCAATTGAATCATGCTGAAATTTACCTTGCTTTTCGCAATGATTTGTTCATAGACAGGCATTAAATGTTCGCTCTTGTACACCCCGACAGTCGTACCAACACCGGCACCGAGAAAGAACTCGAAGCAGAAGCAAGTTGTCGACATTTTTCTTGGTGGAGGACTGCTTGGAGTCTACTAACACTGCACAAGAAAAGCAAAGAAGAAGTATGCAACTGGTAGTGCACAGTTATACTAGTATCTACACATGAAAATTCTTGTGCAACAAGTAGAACGATTATCGCCTAAGAAGAGAAGTTTCTTCATCACAGTGAAAGGTGGCTCGATAGCAATAGCAATGAATAGCAATAAGACTAGCAAGTTCTCGCATATATTGCGACGACTAGAGAATGACACAGCGCATCGTTGCGCCCTCAGTGGTTCAAAAGCCAGGGTTCAGCACCATTCTGGATGCCAGTCTGAACCTCAGCTCCACAAAAAACCATTTTCATGTTGCTTCGACGCTCAACATCCTGTTCAAAAAACCCGCTTTACCCGATGATCGGATAAAGTCCAGCAGCGGACTTCAACCGACTGTGAAAATTTGAAAACCGATTCATTGTTCAAAAATCATCCATCTTCAGAGGGTAAAAAAGCATACCAAACAAGGGTAAGTTTACTTTCAGCAAAAATCAAAGCTTCGAAGGATTCACCCTGCTGAATGGGAATGCAGCTTCTTTTTCACTACTTGCTTGCGCTTCTTGCGTTTCAGGGGTTCTGAAACATCGATCTGTCATTAGTTTTCTTACACGACGTGGGAGGTCGTTAGTTTTCATAAACTTTTCCAGTAGATGAGTAGTCAACAACATCGCATCAGGGCGTGGTGCGATGTCATCCCATCGATCTGGTAGCTAATGGACACCACTATATCCGCACGTCTAAGTCAGGATGATGCGTTGCCAACTTCATCCTTAGATCTGTCATTGATCCGCGATAGATCACACATCCTTAGCGATAACAACAAGCCTGTCATTTCCTCAGATCTGTCCACAATCCGCCACAACAACTGGCTTCGACGTTTTTCCGCTATCGGATCCCACCTGTTCGACCTTGCGGATGACGTCCATCCCCTCAATCACCTGGCCAAACACAGTGTGCTTGCCGTCAAGCCAAGTCGTTTGCACAAAAGATTAGAGCGGGATGGAGGGGTGACAGTGCTGATATCATACCCAGCAATATTTATTACGGGTGTCAGCTGATTTAGCTAATTATTGTTCTTGCAATTTCGAATCATCTTATTTACCGATCATAGTATACGTTGTAGGGGTCGTTAATACATCATCAGTGCGTATCAGAAGGCAGTGATTCTTTACGAGGCAAATGTACATTTTGGACCAAACAGTACCTACTAGGCAATCTTCAAGATAAAAAGGAACAACCATTAGTTTTAGTGTTAGTCCAAAAAATTCCAAAACAACAAGAACTGTTCTAAGGCCTTAAGTGCACAAGAAGAACTGCGATCCGTTAGTGTTCGGACCTGCGTTCGCCATCGACAAAATCCCAGGTCCAGTGTGCTTCAAAGTGAAATTCTCATCAGGGAACTTTGCGCCGTAGATGGATTCACCACCAGTACCATTGCCAACCGTGAAATCGCCCCCTTGGCACATGAAGTTGGGGATCACGCGATGAAACGTACTCCCTTTGTAATGCAAAGGCTTTCCGCTCTTGCCGACACCTAATATAAGTAGAGTTGTCAAGAATGTCAAGGGAATTATCATCATTTATTACTATCATGTTCTTGCGTGAATTAAGAATATGCCGCGAATGAGATTATAATATAATTAGATGAAACAAACACAAAAAGGCGAAAAAGATGAAGAAGTAGCGCTTGTTGATGAGAAATCATAATAATTTTCTTAGTCCTAGTTGTACTTCATCTTCATTTTCTTGACAGAATCAGAAACTTCTTACCCTTCTCCCCTGTGCATAAGCAGCGAAAGTTCTCTGCTGTCTTTGGTGCGGCGTCGGTACGCAGTTCCATCACAATACGGCCAGCATTTTGATTGCCAATGGCAATGTCAAAGAAAACCTTAGGATTTTGACCCGGCATTTTTTTTGGATTTTCTTTTGGACGAGGACGTGGAGTCGTCTACTTCTTCTGAAGAGTAAGTAGAAAGTATAAGTAATTACGGTTAGGCAGTAGAAGAAATCAAAGTTGGTGAAAAAGAACACATGCTTAAGACCAAGTCTATCTTTTAGTCTACCTTAATTTCATGATGAAGAAAAAACCACAGTAAAGAAAATGCATGAAAATCATTCGAGAGATGGAGTAGAAAGAGGCGATCGCTTCACTCGATCGTCATGGTGACCACATCCATGAGAGCTACCAACTACAATTTCCTCGTCAACGAAAGTCAAACTCTCTCGAGGAAAGTATCGCATTGAATCTGCACTACCAGCCGCAACTCCACCGACGAGTTGAAGAACACACGGCAAAATTGGAAGACTAAAAGACCCCCGCTGCACACCCTTCCGGTGGCAGGAATCGCGTATTCATGAAGCTTTTTAGCCTTGCAGTTACAGTAAGCTGGCATCCCAGGTTTAACAAATACTATCAACAGAAAGAGAGAACGAGAGATAGAGAGAAGGATTCGGCTGGCGATTTTCATTTCGAGGAGATAACTTCAAACATAGGGGTATCGATTACGCGGATGCGGATCATCATCCTGTGTTTTTGACCTTAATCACCCTCAGCACCAGCCCAGTGCAATGCAAAATAGAACCAAGGCTCAGAAATCGATCGTGAGGGTGAGAGCGAGATAGAGACATCCTAGTGCCACAGGTTCGCGCGACGGAGCGTGAGGGAGAGAGCAGCTTCGAAGTACAAGTAGAGATGCAGCAAAAACAGCATCGCGATTCATCTTTTTTGATTGTGATCGACGAAGTCCGAGTCAGAACTTTAGACTTCAATTTCATTTCTCTACTTAAAATTTAGACTAATTGACTGCGACGCTGTTCTTCGTGGATGTGGATCTTTTCGACTTAGTTCTTCAACGACATCATTCGGCATTATGAGAAGTTTCGAGCTCGATCTAGTCAGAAGATGGAGACCACTAGTGCTGTTTTTTGATGAGCTCACTGTCACTTCATTTACTTTCACTTAGAAGACTAAGTGATCGGCGCTCCTCATCTGATCCATAGGTCAAATATACAAGATCAAAAATGCACGAACGCCAGAAGCCATAGGAAGAAGCATCTCTTTTATCAATTGACTGTAGCTTTGCCAGATCGAGGGAAAGTCAATTTGCACAAAAAGAATACCAATGAGGTCACACGAAGCTGTAGCCATGCAGATACATCCGCAACCAGAGGGATCTAGTCAATTCTTAAGAGGAAGAAGCGGGATGGGTCAATTGCTATTTCACTTGAGGCTGAGTTCAATTCTGTTTTGCTTTTGGGAGAAAAGAGGCTTTTTAGAAATTGAGTCTAAGGCGCTGGGGGTAACTCGATTTGCGAACCAATCTTGCACTACGTCTAGCTCTCGAGCTCCTTTTTCTTCACGTTCACACGACAGAGAAAGCGGCAGCCTCCTTCTTGCTGCTGTACACAGATGCAGATTCACAATCCCTCGTCATCAATCAATATCAAGACAAAACTCACAAACGCGCGCCATCAACTTTTTACTTTCATTAAGACGCCACATTTATTGGACGCATAGACAACGCTTCAGGCTAGAGCTGGGCAGCGACTGCTGCCTGCGCAGCTCCCGGCACAACAATAATAGTTCTCGGACCTTGTTGTTTCCAGTATACAACTGATTTTGCTTGTCTGCAGTTCGTTCCATCCTTAAGGCTCACAGATGCCTTCTGAAGCTGTTGACTTCTTGCTGTTTATTTTGCATCAGATTCAAGCACAGCGACAGCTCCTAGTCCTATCTTTTTCTTCACGTCTTGTGCGGAGATGCCACCACGGCCGGACGAAAGGGCAAAGCTATAGTTCAGATATCAGAATGCGGGAGGGTGGGACTGTTGGAGAAGAGACGTCGAATAGCAGCGACTCATGCTATTACAGAGAGTAGATCTATAATTAGAACTGCACAGCCACTACCACACTACGTCGCACTGTCTCAAAGCAAGCTGTAGAACTAGAAGTAGAAGTAGATCTAGATACTTCGAGGAGATCGGAAAAGTGCTGCTCATGTTTCTGTCCGGCTGAAGCTAGTGAGCCCGAATTCGATGAAGCCGGAAGAGCGCAAGCATCAGCTTTTTGGACTTAGTTGTAGTTGACACTTTGTGGGGAGAAAAGCCGCTGCACCTGCAGCACCATTAGCAGGCACTATCTAGTCCACAACCGCGCTTCATAATCAGAGAGAACGGGTCATGACGTGCTGGGGGTATAACAATGCCTACACTGCTTCAGCGAGCAGATTTAGAAGTAGCGCGTTTATCTACGGACCTGAGAGTAACCAGCTTCAGCCTTACTAAAAATAGTATACGAGCTCTGTATCTCTATCACTATGAGGAACATACTAAAATCAAAAACAAGATGTACGGGCACGAGCATAAAAGAAAATTATCAAAGAACCATTATAAATCAGATTAAGAACAGTGAAGAACTGCTGACTTATGAACTTAAGAACGAAAGAAAATCGACGAACTGCTACGCCGGTCTCAGAGGAGATTCAAGCTATTTAGCTTAGACGTGGAAGAACTTGACGGTCGGATCTTGCTAGTGAAACCTCTGGTAATCAACGATCAACGAGAAGGTTGACAAGATGAAGATAACTAGTTGGCTGGGTGTCATGCGTCTTTTCTTGATGAATGATGATATCTACGCATACTGATACATTAGACTGCGCCCACGACGAACACGAGGAAAGAAGATAAATGAACTTTTAAAAGCAACGCAATGAATACGAATACGCTCTGGCTACCAAGTATAAGTAGGCATAAAAATACACTCGAAATCGAAAGCATTTACTTTCTGACTCAGATTCTGTTTTATTTTCATCCACATAGCGAAGACTACAATAAGCAATTATATTTATAGACTCAACAAGACTGATCAAATTAGTGGGGGACAACCAGCAAGAGAAATTCACTGGGAAAAAAATCAAGGAAAGAAGTTGGTCTGTTTTCGTCTACAACACAGCAAAAACAACACCGAGCAGAGAAGTGAATGTGAGGGCAGATACAAAAGCACAGAGCCGCTTGCTGTCAGATGCAACTGAGTACTATCCGGCTAATATGGTTGAGATCTCGTTCTCATTGATTGACTCAAAAAGTCACACTCCTATGCACTTTTCTCACCTCATTCTTGTGATGCCTCGTACTCATTAGTCTTGGTGATTCTTTGTTTTAAAACTTTCAAGCACTACACTCTGATAAGATAACAGATATCCATACACTAGGAGCATCTCGATGCCAAGCAAATGACGCTCCTACTTTCGTACCTCAATCCGCCATATCCTCACTCCTTCCATCGTCAAGAAAAACTCCACAGTAAGAGAAGAGCTAATACCACCGGAACACCATCGCAAAGTAAACCTCTCGCAGAATTGTAGAGCCACAAAACGCCTCACGCGTTCGTATCTGGGAGAGAGGGTGGTTGCTCGAGCTGTGTGGCATACATGAAGACTGAGGCTCTTGTTGAATCAGAGTAGTTAATCAACGACATTCATGTTGACAGTTTGAAAGGTCAGCTGCTGTTGTGTCTGTATTGTGTTTCACCAGTGATAATCTGGCGGCTGGTCAAGCTCAAGGCACGAACGGCATCAAGATAAACACTATGACTATGTACTTATACGTAGAAAAATGGAGTGACAGGCAGACTCTGTATAAATAAGGGCATGCTCATAGTAAAACGCATAAGAACAACTGGCTACTTGCTTCGAATTATATCGGAAGCCATTAGATCAAGAAAGGTATGGCCCTGCTCCTGGTCGTAAAGGTTCGGCTTTGTACTCAATTACAATCAAAAGAAGTAAAAACTTGTCCTAAACGTATTTTGGAAGCTAGGCTAGTTTCTACACGTCCCTAGTTATTGGCCGAAAATGAAACATCTACTGCGATTATGTAAAACAAGAGTGAGCTTGATTAGATAGTTCCATAACGTCCTGCTATTTAGTCTCAAAGGATGAAAGGGTGTGCCCATCCTCGAACAATGAAAAAAAAGAGAAACTCACTTCGACAAGATATTCAAGAGAAGCACAGTTTTGGTCCTGCCTATCCCTACGTTAAAGTCAATACCATACCAGTGCCCTTCAATCAGTTGTTAATAATAATTGATAGAAACGACGTTTGGAAATAACGAACAAGCCCAGACCCTCTGAGTCTGATGCTCATAGTACTACGATAGCAGTGCCAGTAGTAGCAATAGTAGGGAGCAGTGCCTGGCCATAACTACGAGTATGGCAGAAAAGCACAGAACGAATGCGACGACCTAGCTGTAACTGTAAATACAAGTAGCACAAATGCCTGACGCTGCTACTAGCGCAACCAAGCGTATACGTCAGCATGTAGAAGCAGAAGGTCGGCAACGCTATCCTAAGCAGGCGCAGTTCTATCCTTCGTCTATGAACTTGGGGTCTACAGCTACCATTCAATGAATCTTATACGGGTACTGGCCTGACTGATGATAGCTGCTGCTTTATAATCTAGGCGCACCCTACAACCACTACAAATATCTTCTCTAGTATGGATTTGAATTTATGAGAAGTAAGAACAAGAACTAGTAGTGTGATGATGAAATCTGGCAGACTGAAAACCACTCAGGATAAGACATGAGAACAAGTGCAAAGAGATCAGCTGAATCTACGTAGAACGACAGCAACTTTTCTGGTGTCCAATCGTAGACACATAAGCCGTAGACACACTTTCAGGGCTGTAGCACTTCTATTTTTCATTTCTTTATTTACTTGCTTCCATAAATAGTAGTATTATTTTTGTTTTCATAAAAATCAGCCAACATGAAGACCGTGAAGCGTCTACTGTTATCGAGAAGAGAGTCCTCACGATTGGACAAGAAGCAAGGCGTTTTGTGAATCAGTACTAGGAGAACAAGAACTACAAAATTGAAAGTGTGGGTACCTGTTTCTTTTTGGAGGCTGAAGTGCTTGAAGCACTTCATCTCCACAGTCGTACTGAAGATTTACCAGAGGCCGTTTGCATACAGCGGGATGCTGTGCGCTGACGTGATATCCAGGTCGTCCTTGGGCTCCTGCTCGTCATCCTGCTGAGTGGCTTTGTTCTTGTTGTTTCTCTTACTACCACTAGTCTTTTGTCCATCCTCGAAGACATCGTCAGCTTCGCCATAGATGTCATCATCGTCATCAGTCTCCTCTACTTCCTCCTCCTCTTCGATCTCCCCTCGAGCGTACTCTTCTAGATACTGGCGCAAACCCGGATAAACCGGGTAAACGGAACGAAAGCTGCAGCGATCGAGGACCGCCAGCTTTTCCGCCAAGGTGTGCTTGCTGTCGATCGTCTTCTTCGCATCGGTTCGGTCCTTGCTTCGGATTAAAATGTCCGCGATAGCCTTGCCGATTTTCGAATGCTGTAGATCGTGAGTAACGATGGAGTTACGCGATCTTGAAGACTTGATATTGTAGGATTCTGCGAATCAATATCGATGGAGGTGTTGGACTTGGAAAATCAAGCGACGAAAAAATAATTATGTCTGCGTGAAAAGAAATGTGTACGAGTCGGATCAACGTTAAAGTCCAAAAGTATTCTACTGGAACTACCATCAGCTTGACGAGCATCAGCCCAGTCTTGTTTGATCTCGGATTAGCCGCGGCCAAGGTTTGACACTTCTGTTCTGCATCTTGCCACTCGCTCGGAAAAATAAATTTCTGGAGGTCATACTCCTTCCCCATCCCGTTCTGCTTCTTGGATTTCATCGCAGCTGTTTTCTTGCTAAAAGTGGCAGACTCTTCTAAGATCTTCAGATTCTGATGGATCATCTGCAAGCCGCGGCATAAAAACATCAGCGCCTCCATACCCAACGCCATACCCGCACGGGCAGCAGGCTGAGATTGAGTTGTTTGAAAATAGTTGTAGGGGTGCTTATTCTCTAT